AAGGGCGGGCGGGGGAGGAGGGGCAGTGTACTTAGAACTTGCCATCATTTTTCCAAACGTAAACACGAGTACTTGTTTAACCCGGTTCCAGCGTGATCTCACAGAGTGTTCTTTCCACCCCAAAGGCTCATCTTATCGAAATCTGGGGCTTATTAAATTACATTGCTGGGCTCTGTTTTCCAGTTTTCTGGAGTTCTGGCTGGGGTCGGAGTGAAATGTTACAAGTCTAGTGAGCCCCCACTGATGCTCAGGCTGCTAGTCTGAGGACCACATTTGGAAGACTGCGGCTGTACAGTGTCCGCATTAACTGTGTTTCCATCAGATTCTGGAACTAGAATACATCTTGTGTGATATTAAGTGAATGTCCTTCGTAATTATTGCTATTACTGTACTATTGAGCGACACCGTAGGTCCCTGAATGTTTATCTTAGTTTGGGTAAGTGGGCGATCTGGTTATTTTTCTCTTTAACTGTAAGTATAGCAGAGTGTTCACTTTGTGATTTGTGCACTGCCAGGTGCCAAGGAAGTCTGGGACAAGTCTCAGGCAGTACCTGTGGCTCCTCCCAGCATTTGTCACCCTGTCTCCTTACCCTAAACTAAACCTTTCTTTCCCTAGCTTCTGATTGTATTTTGGCTACTTGAGAACTGTAAGCATTGCAACTCAGATAGAAAGGTAACCTGGCTGTGGGGAGCCAAGCAATACCACAAAGTCATTGCAAGCTTAGTAGCTTTACAGCCCTGCTCCAGCGAAAGGTTTCCCAAATGCAAGATAGACAATTTCCCCACCAAGTCGTTAGATCTGTGATTGGTGGGATTTCAAGCCCTGATCCTGGGGCCAAGTCAGGGTCAGTGTGTTTTTCCTTGGCCCTTTCGCCCTACAAGAACTGCTTCTAGCTACATGTTAACTCGTTGTCCCTTTCTGTTAGGGAAGAGCAAATGTGCTCCTAAGTTGTGCTGCCTCAAAGGGTGGGTCAGGTGGGAGCAAAAGTGAATTCAAAAGCCTTTCTTTACAAAGAATTACTCATATGATATCTAACACTGGGTTGGGAATGAAAAAGCAGAGGAAGCCTTTGTAGGGTAAAAGGGCTAGCCAAAGAAACACACCCTGAGCCAATTCACTGGCCCTAAAACCAGAGCCAAAGAGTTAAAGGGCCAGTAAAAGAAACAGTGAAAGAAGCATACACTGGTCCTGAAACCAGAGCCAAACTGACCAACTCAACACAAAAACCAACCAATCCCTAAGCAGGAAATCCAGCCAATCTCTGAGCTTGTCCAACCTCAGGGATTGAAATCCAACCAATTACCACCCTGAAAATCCTCACCTCACCTCGAAAAGATCCCTCCCCTACGAAGCCCTATGTAAGCCCTGTACCTGTTCAGTTGGGAGCTGCCCTGTTCTACCCTGGCAGCCACCCTCCTGGATTCTTCCCTTCCAATAAATCTCTTGAATGGGGTTTAGGTGAGGCCTTCTTTTTCTGGAATGGAGTGGAACAGAGACTTAACAACTTTTGCCAGAGCCAGAGCAGAACATAACTGTAACAATTTCACTGGGGAAACCCTCCCAGCCTGAGGAGTTGTTACATTGAGGAAAACTTTCCTTGGAGTAGGGTT